CCTTTACCTGCAGATTGCTTCTTGGTAAGTCTAGAGAATAGTATGTTACGACCCACTATCGACAGTTCCCATCTGTACCAAAGATACATAGATGATACTCTCATCATATGTGACTAGAATACTAGCATCAAAATGATAAGTAAAGAGTTCAACAACTGCCATCATGCCATCCAGTTTACGTGAACTCGGAGATCTGACTGTTCTCTTTAAAGATCGATCTACAAGAAACCAACATGGAATGGTCAACGCACGAATTTTCATAGTTTGGTCCTTTTGAGAATAAAGAGAAATATGATCCATTCTTTATCCTCAAGAATACGAAGAGTATGTACCAGTGATACAATCGATGGTAAACTGGAGAGATTCAGATAAGACCTCTAGGCTAATAGATATCTTCCAATATTAATTGAGAAAAATCTGAAAGTAAAGAAAAGGCCCGAAAGAACCCGGACGGCCCCGAAGAAACTGCTTTTTATTAACGTTAAACTTAAAGTTGATACCGCTGCTGAGATCCTGAAGAACCCCTTATGCACATTACTGAGAAAAGCCTTCTTTTCGGCTGAGCTACGAATCAGTTTCTACAGCAGACAAATGATCAATGGATGTGTGAATGATAAACTACTATCACTTTGGGTCACTTCAATAAATACACTTGTTCCTGCGGAGCTAGCTTTATTGCCTGCGCAAAGCGCACACTTTCCAAACGCATCTCTGAACGCTTTCCGGCATGGTTAGCAAAAGGAACAATGCAAGACAGTTACTAGCTCAATTCTCGAAACCCAGTGAACTCATGCCACGCAGCTCCACCGGAGTCATCTTTCAACATAATGTAAAAGGTATGACCAAGTGGTACAAAGAGTGTTAGGTTTCGGCATTTGTGTATGGCAGAGGCGCCTGTAATTCATCCATACACTCCCGAACTCTATATGTAGAAAAAGTTTGTCTAGTCTCATTCTACCATGGTCTTTAGCTCTGCAAAGTTTTTATGTTTTAGTTCTTGATTTTACTTTTAGTTTAATAATTAATTCACTATTATCATGCTCATATGTTCCTTTTGTACATTTTCTCACCCTCTTCACACTTGTTAAATTAACACTTAACTACCTTTCTACTCACTTAATAAAAATGTTAACTTTATCAAATTTCCAACCTTTTCTTCCTTTGTGCTGTTGAGTACTACGTAATTTACAACTTTTATATTTTACTTTTAAAGCCACTTTTAAGTAATTATATCAGTTATGTCACCCTCCCTAATACTCAATAATAGACCAATATACATTTTCGGTAAATATAAATACTATTGTACAGCCTCTGAAGATGATTTCGTCGATAAAGAAAATTTTCTTCGCTGAATTGCCTTTTAAATTCTTCTTGACGCTGATTCTTCACTATTAAATATCTTTTCCTACAGATGACTAATATTTTGTTTCACCTTGTTTCAAAAAAAATTTCCTTTAATCATTTCCCCACACCCTTCTTCTATAAACTGGCAATGTAAAATTTACATCTGAAAGCGTTCGATCAACATATATTCATTATAATAATTTTATAATAATAAATATTTATTTCAGACAACATGTTAAGACATAGTACAGAAATTCTCAGCGTAAATTGTTGCAAAAATATTCCGTCTTCTACAGGTAAACTAATAACCTGCAGTATATCATGCGACACAATATCATTCCATATCAACAAAGATACAATTCTCTACAATTTTTTCTTCAATTCCTTCCAGAATTCTACAGCATTTTGTTGAAAAGTAATAAAAAATGCGCCCAAGTTTTCATAGCTACCAATGTATGATTGAAACAATAAGAAATACAGATGATTTGAAGCATAATGATAAATGGAAACTTTGATAGCTCAGTGACTTGAGCATGTCAAAGAATTTTCTCACTACGTCAATAAGACGATCTGTCTACAGAAGGCCCAACGTGATGTGACAGTGTATAAATTTGCTTAGCATAAGATAAAAACTATCCTTTGAAATGAGCTAAACACTTTGTCCAACAAAAGGCTGCAATAATTCAGTCAGCCTCAAAAATTATTTTTATGTAACTTTGGCGTTTGAGCGTCACTCCAAATGTCTTATCACTAAGTAATGATTTAATTTCATTCTCATTGGGGGGAAATTTTGTTGTAGTGGGAAACTTCATAGCGTATGAATAACGGTGTTATATCCTACTGTGCTTATCACTTTATATGTGTACATAGTCAAACATACATGTTATGGACCTAAACATCTCTGAAGGTTAGGGATTCAGTCCAAGTCCCGAAGTAGCTTCCAGAGCACTTGAAATCATGAAACTCACCTTATACTAGAAATAGATGCCTCACGCCATCTTTCTCAAACCACATCATATGAACGGGTCATAAACTTGATTTTAAATATTCTTTTAAGCCTATATTAAAATATTGTTGGTTTTTTATACATTTATCCTAGCAAATGACACAAAATAATAGATCATTTGTAACATAACTGCACTTAATAAGAATAAGTGATTACGCAAGAAGTTCAAAATACGAAGAGGTCAGTTGAATTAGCTATAAATAATTACCATTGTCTTACAAACTGCTTGTTGATAACTTTGTCAAATTATAGGTTCTGACTTTTCTTAAGTATTTTCATCCGTTTTATGCCTCAAACTTGATATTAATTACTGACTGACATTACTATATGATAGGAATAATTTTGATACATTATTTTTAAAAAAGTATGTTGATGAAGAGTCTTTGATACGAAAATAGTTCGGAAGGGATATATTTATTCACCCAATATATCACTATTCTGTAAATGTTTAAATCAGAATTTCTTAATTAGTAACTGAATAGTTGGCACATTTTCCACACAAAGAGCTTAAAAACTTAGCTTTTGATTTTAATCACAAACACGAGATTAATAGAAGGAGCAACAAACCTGAATTATTAATTGGGATTCTTTCCAGTGTTCCGATTTAGTCTAGTAGTTTCCCAGAGACAATATTATACTCCAGCGTATTCGAGACAGTAACATTTATTTGGTTGATGACGCATGGATGTAAACGAAATGTCGGTTATAACCAAACTTTTTCTGGTGTACATCAGTATCATCGTTCAAATTATCCGATTACTTGGTATAGTCTTCTCCCTTCATAATTACTGTGGTTCTTCCTTTATCAGCTTGTGGTCTAATTAAGTTCTCTCTTATTCTTTGTGTTTTTAAGGCAAATCTCTACTGAGTACTGAGTCAGGTACTTTTCTTTTTCTGCTTGATTGTGAGTATGACAGATTGTAATTTTTTTTGGGTCTCTTCATTTAACTTCAATAAGAATAATTGGAACCACATCAAAAAATCTAACACAATTACTGTGTATGGTTGTGTTAAGCATCGGGGATAATGTTTTAGACCCACAGTATATTCTACTTCAGCATGTGATCCTGAATGACAGAAGTATGTTCAAAAAGACATTAGTCAAACTTCTGAACCTCTAACTCTTGTGAACCGAATTCTTGTTTCAAAGCATTTGCTGTTATGATGATGATTATTTCTTGGAGATATCCATCACTTAATGTTCTTAAACTGAGTAAGACTGCTTAACTGAGTTTCCTATTTTATCCGTTAATATTTCTGGCATTTATTTTTCTTAACAACTGACAATGATAATTTTATTCTTTGAGGATTAAGATCATCATCTGTATACCCGAATAGCCAAATTCCGACTAGGTGCTTGGACAGTCTGCCAGTACACTTAGTTACAAGTCACGAAATTCGAGATTCCAGAAAGAAAACTGTAGTGAATTTTTACCCTTGGTTTCTAGTTACTGTAGTCACTATTTCACTCCAAAAGTGAAATTTTCAGTTTCATGGGAAAATAATTTATAAAGAGGTCTGAAGGCAATGTTCTGATTTGAAAGTTTCTCATAATCATTAAGGAGCCGGAAATTTTCTTCTACGAATATGTCGGTGAAAAGATTGAGCTCTATCAAACATTTTCTGGTTTTACAAATTAAATGAAACAAAACTCGAGGAAATTCGGAAGTGGTAGGAGTAAAATTGGGTATCTGCGGGTATGTCTAATAATTTGTCAGTAAAACGACGTAGTTATTTCTGTAATAGTTGATCCATATTAAGCCCCAGTATAGAAGCAGTGAAAATGAACTTAACTAATCTACTTATCTTATGACGCTCCTAATTTTTATTACAGCAGCTTTACTCAAATTACTCGGATGAATATTGTTTAAAAGTAAGCCTTAAGCATGATAGAGGGTGATCGAAGAAATGGAATTCTATCTACATGCACTTAGAAATTCTGTTCCTGTATTCTCTATTTTCTATATTTTACATGCTCCTACGGTTAAATAACATTATATATTTTATTTATTGAGACTTCCACGTAGGTTGTCATATAAGTAGATCTGGTAATTTCCAGTACCGATTGCATACTAACATAATTATTGAAAAGGTGTTATTACTAAATCAATTCGATTATACTTTCAAAAAACATCCAAATCAAACCTCTGATGTCTACCCTTATGATCGATGCCACTGGATTTAGTGCATTCTGAAGAATCTTGAATTTTATTCCAGATATTTTAGTTATTCATAAGATAAAACGCGTCAAATTAGGCCGTCTCTTACCAAAAAAGTATTGAGGTCAACTAAATTTTTTTTCATTTTACTCGTTTATGAGAAACTCTAATGTTGTAGATTGTAGGTGCAACAGTATGTCCTCTTACTTAACCGTATCTATTGTTGTTCATATCAAGAACCAAGAAATATTACATGGAACTGATGTAAACTTAAATTTTCCAGCATGGTTTTGTAGATGTTAAAGGTGGGTCTTAACTTTTAGACTACTGAATGTATGGTTTTAGAGGTCCTAGCAATGAAGAAGCTATTTACGATATCAGCCAATAAAGAATATTGACAAGTTTTATGTTCATAATTGGCCAGGAGCCCAACAGCCTTGTTTGATCTATATGTATACACTGTAAACACTCCCAACCTTAACAAAATGCACCTAACTACCTATTGACTTTTCGGATATTCGGAATGAATTAAGCTGGGCGAAACTGAGTTTTAGTACGTTTACTGACTTCATGTTAAAACCGTAGGTACACCTTTATACCACAACCATGACTTTAGAAAACCAATACCATTTTTCTTTTAGCTGATATATTTCCAGGGGAATTCCCTTTAGAACTATGAAGCGATGTATAGAAGCACTTAAAAATAAATAAATTCAATCTAAAGCTGTTTGCTAGTTAACACTATTCAGGTTGAAGGTTTTGCCAACATTCTCTGTAAACTATTTTCACCAACTTGGAATTTTATTTGAAAACCGTTTTCTTTGAGAATAACTTGAAATCTATTGATAAGTTTTATTAAAGAATAATGATTTTAAAAATGCTCATTTAACTTTCGTGTTTCAGAGTAAAGTGAGTGAAGCCAACAAGAAGAAATGAAAAAAGCGTGAAGCACATCAGAAGAGTATTTAACAGTGATTAGCAAACTCCATCTCATGCGTGTTTAGCTACCTAATATCTTCCAGTGATACCCTTAGTTAATTCTTGTAAACTGATTTGACCGTCTCCATCTCCATCCAGTCTACTAATAAATTCCTTGATTTCCCTTCGGTCAAATTTCGCATCATGTTTTCTGAAAAATGCCCTTAGTTCTCTTGGTGTAACGAATCCGTTACGGTTTTTGTCAATTTGATTGAATATACAGCGTACTTCATCAGGACTGTTAAAGGTAAGAGTCAAAAAATTAATTTTTATTACTATATTTCCAAGGAGTTATTTAAATATTTTAAAAAGAAATAGATTTTTCTGGACTGATAAGATTAAAAGTATAACTAAGTAGAGTGTAAATCTTGAATATACTTGGATATAGTTACGAGTTATGAATGATTTTCATAAAAATAGATTAATTTCATTTGCACTTTCGGAGCCTGTCGTATTCTTGTTATTAATAATAAATATACTTCCGATTAACCTGCAGCTCCTGTGGTTTCAATGACGTTTCCAGTGAACTCACTTAATCTGATAATGGCAGACCATTCTAGACTAAGGATTGTTAAGACTGCAAACAATAGCAGGTAGTCCGGTCGACATTATTTTCCAAATATTACTGGGTGTATGATTACATTACGTACTATCCTCATTCTGCTCAGAACGAAGCGTGAAAATTTTGTGATCAGTAGTAATGCAGATAATTGTGCAGATCCTTAACTTCCTGTAGGCTTTTTCACATACAGTTTCAAAATGTTTTATTCAGCCTCAAACCTGTATTTAAATTTAAATAGCTGAAATCTGAATTCGTCGCTATACAACTTCAGTAAATATTTGCTTCCATTCAGGACCAGTATCATCTCTAATTTATGCGACTTAATCCCACTTTTCAGGTAAAAAGTGTGCATATAAACAATTACTCTTCAAAGGCTGCAGTGATCTTTAGTCATACTTTATGTCGCTGAAAAGAAACATGTGAAGGTAGGATATTTTTTATGCAATCACTGCAAAACATTTTTTCATTTCAACATCTTAAACTTAGCCTTGTAAAAGATTATTTTAAAAATATGTGGTAAAAATGACAGCTATTGACGTACGTAATTGGGGCATTCATTGTTTTGATTGGCTGCTAGCTTTTAGCGGCTATAAGACAAGAGTTGTTTGTACACCTCCACAGAGAAAACAGAAATGCTATATCAATAATTTCTCATCTTTTATAGTTTTTTTTTCTCTACAGAAAAAAACCCGATAAAAAACAAAAGTGGAACATAATAGCTGACAAGCATGCATTTACTCACATGCTTTGTCATCTACATCAACTCAGTGTGATTCTACATTCATTTATTATTTTTTTTAAAGTAATTGTTCTGAGTATAATTTTAATTAGCTTAAAATTAATTCATGCTATGAATATTATCATTATTATCAGCTGATAGTAAATTGGATTGCATGGCTTTAAAGCCGAATTGGTGGTCATCAGATGAATATAACTATGACTAATAATGCGTTGGTTAGGCCATTGCTTTGGAGTTCTTCACTTTCAGATATAAAATCACCTGTGAAACGGAAGAATAAAGTCAACATTCACGTTCAGCACGTCCGTAGCTAATGCAGAATAATATAAGCTGTACAGCTGTTTGAATAAAACATTATCACCTATTAAAATGAAACAGGTGTTATAACTTCTTTGTCAAAATAGAATGAGCCCTTTATCGATAAAGGATGATGCGGTTGTGAATACGGATGGCCAACATGTGAAACAAAGCATCAGTAATTTTGTTCCCTTGAACTTTTGTAGTTCTGATCCGACTTATGACGTCCTTGATAGAGTCTCATATTTAAGAAGTGATAATCTTTTAAAAATGTAGCTACTAACAAAATCTGACAGTAGATTATTATACACTTTACAGCCATACACCGCTTATCGACTGACTAGATCGACTGATGATACACCACTTAGGAAATCAAGGTTAAAAACAGGATATCAGAAGCTTATTATTAACTTGATTTTTACAGTTTAGGAACTGTTTTCCCAATATAAGGTGGTCAAGTATCCACGCCTTTTAACGAAAAATGTTTCCAGATTTCATTTTTACATAAATAATTAGCCACATCTAACAGATTCTTAACGTGTTCGACAAGTATTTCACAACTATTAATTCAGTTTGTATTTGAGTCTATTATGGTTTTTATTTGTCTTTGTGAAATCGTAGATGACGCTGAGCAGTTAACAATGCTCATGGAAATTGTGTGAAGTATACCTATTACACTGAAGATTTTAGACAAGGACTATCGTCGAAAAAGTTCCCCAAAACAGTCCCTTAGAAAGGATATTAAACTAAATTTCTCAATTGACAACACATAAAACGACAAATTTCCGTATTTTTATTAGGAATTTATGTATGTAACACCTCAGTATATCCCCATAACAAGAGAAAGTGACGACTTCAACAAGTTATAAGTAAAGTCGACAGTTACATTGCTCCGCGTTTGCTTTCCCTCATAATTCAGTGTCAGCAAACAAACAAAATGAAATACCTTCAGAGCGTGAATGCAGTTATTGATGCACTGCACGAGTGACTTTAAGCAAATGAAGATTTTTTCTTTCACTGGATGTTGTTCTCAAACAGACAAGGACGACCAACCGCGTGAAGCAATCTTTTCTCAAACTTCAATGATTAGTATTTCATTGAAAAGTTTCGATGGATTACACAGAATCTTGAAGGGAAATAATAACTGACTATATGTTATTTGACGCAACACTGGGCAACTGGAAGCACTGACAGGTTCCCATAGATTATTGTCTCCTTCCCTTATCAAAATACATAGTAAATTTAAAGCATTCCAAAATTGCAGATAAATACAGACTGGCCAAGACAGTATGAAATGGAGCAGACTTAGTGCAGTATGACAGAGGAAATACTGGGTAGCTCAGTGGATTAACTGGTTCTCTAAGAGCGACAATTCTTCATTCTACCAGCTTAATATAATGTTTGATAAATACTTTCAAGGATTTTTAATTAATAGCTGTTTATTGATTCTGTAATTATTCGAAGATCTGGATAACTGAAAAAATAAGGTATTTTGAAATTATAGAAATTGCCTGTCAAAGGACCAAGTGATAAACAAGCTCCACAGATTCATTTCTAGTCGTTCCAAATTAGGCCATCAAGAGTTTCTATTATCAAAAGCTAGATTCTACCCATTTCCTGTGACATGTCGGTTATACATCAAGTTATTTTGCGTATATGTGTTGTGACAAAAAAATGAATGCAATCAAACTAAATCACCTTAGGAAATATTTCGCTTAGATTCAGGCATAAGCATTTCCAAGTCAGCAGTGAATAAAACTTACAACACCGAACGAAAATTAGTAAAATCTCACATGCTTATAAAACAGGATAATGCCTCCTCAATTCAGTAAAAACAAATGAGGAAAGAAGGGTAAAATTAAGACACAAATCATTTGAAATTTGTCGTGCAACAGAATCATCGCTTTTTCATCTCGTAAATTCTCATAATTTATCTTTCAACTTAATTTCAAGTATAGCGATAAGAATGACTGTATATTGAACTACTGTACAATTATTGTGAGACCTCCTTTCAGCTAGCATTTCTCTGTAATCTGTTTTGATATTATGTGAAGATGAAGGCAGTTTACAACTACAACTATACACCATAATGTCCATTCGGTGATCGAAGGTGCTAGATTTAATTTGAAGAATTCAGGCAGCGCTGGAATGAAATGCTATATTGATCTGTAGCAGTTTTCTGGTAATCTAGCTATTACAATCTCACAGACAAACGTTGACTGCCACTTGATATCATTATGAGCAATAATTTGTGCTCAAAACGTCATCAGTTAATATTTCTATAAAACACTGTGTGATTTATCAGAATAAAGTCTTATCCATAATGAAGTTATACTCTACCATAGTGCCCAGATTTTATACTTATACCAATAAGACACTTCATTTGCATTCAAATGTAACAAAAAGAAAAATAATCATTAGTTAAACTTCAAAAAAACTTGTTTTTTAAAGGATTTACTGATTGGGAGATATTAAAGGTTCCCATAGTAAAGTGTGAAAGGAATATGAAAGCGTACAAATATTTTTTTCAAATACATCTACTTATTATTTGCTTTTATTGACATGAATTGTCAAATAAATATTAAATAGTAATCAGCTATGGTTCTTTGGTGAATGCCTAATAAGTTGGCTGCAAATTATAAATTAAATCATAATAAAAATAACGACAATAATAATATCATTATATCGATAACGATCAGCAGTGGACATATCTGTAATCATAAAAATAGTAAAATCAATGTGTTGAATAAAACATTCAAAAGACGTAGTATATAAGGACCCATAGGAGAAATAGCAAGACCACACAATATTAAACTTTGAGGGAATTAGTAAAGGCAAATTTAAGTGATGCTATATAGCTCAGAATCGGTTAGCAAGCAGTGACCAAAGTTAAAATTTGAGGGCTATGACTGTACCATCTTTTTTGAACACAGACTAGGAACATTTGTGCGCATAGTCATGTGCAGTTAAAAGGTTTATGATTCCTTTGAAAGCTTTCAGGCTTCCATCAGTTTAGTAGACGTCTGATGTACACCTTTTGTAATCACAGCAGTGTACTGTGAAGGTCAGATAATTATGCATTTATCTACCCTTTTGTTGAGGGATATGATATCATGAAAAAAGCTTATCTACTATGCATACAAAAGAATAAGTGAGAACGTGATTACAATGAAATAGAGATAAAGGTTTCATATTCATTGAACTATCTGAATCACTATTATGTGACTGATCACTGTGTGAAAAAGGCAGCGCTAGTGATTACTGTCTACCATCTTACTGGCTTTCACATAAGCAGTTTCAATAAAAAAGTAGCTCCTGAATTCCGCAATGCACCAACAATTTGGGAAAACGACTATCTTTTCGTTAACGCATTTGAATTACATCAGACAAGCTATCTATGATTGTAAAACAATTAGTGAACCTCACAAATATGTTGGTCCATTTCTCATTGGAATTGGCTATATATTTCTATCTCATCTGAAGTTTTCATTTACTTATACTTATAAATGTCATGTAAAGTCATTACATACCTGTTTATCTTCAATATTTTGTAAGCTTTCCTTAAAGAATTGCTGCATCATTCTTTCAGCTGTATGTGCATTGAGCTTACGAGACAAAATTGTAATGTTTGCAAACAAAGACATATTGAGCAATGTAAACGAAGAAATGTTTAGTTTTACCATAGACACACAGCATCTCTTACTTCTAGATTATGAGACGTATGTCCTTCAACATATTTCCACACCTCAGCGTAGTTCTAGATGACACATTCAATACTCGAAATTCCTCGCTCTGAACATTTTTCTTGTCCGACCATCATTGACCAACAACAACTAAATAATGAATCAAAGCCAAATGGTGTGAAAAGCCCTTTCATTTTTGTTTAACGAATTTCAACTGATAACCGACTAGCTTAGATTGACACTCCAGATTTCAGTACTTCTCTGTTGGCGAATCCAAATCTAGGACAGAAACACTATCCACCGTTCCCATTAACTGCTGATAATGCAAGTCCTTACCTCAATTCATCCTTTTATTTACCCTTACTGACAAGCAATGCAAACAGTGTGAAATTACGTTACTGTTGAAAAGATAAAGTGACTGATTCCCCCGTCTTTTAAATAAAGCCACAAAGTTAATATTAAAAATTTAGAAACAAAATTAACGCAATGCTAAACAAAACAAAATTTTGTTTTGCTAAATATGTTTTGAATATTCTGTGATTTGCATTTTTCACATCACAACATGATCAAAAAGGTGTCACCACATCAGACACATATGATGCTGAGAAACTAACGTGAATACAATCCATACTCTAATTCATATAACAACCAATGAGAAGCTGTCACGTTTTAGAAAATGTGAGATGCAAACGTGAGCTGTGGGCAATATAAATATGTAAGTGAGTGACTTTCTCCTACAATACAAAATGGATCGGCAGCTAACGTAAGTTGAAAACTTCTTTGAAAAATCTCACTTTTTCAAATCACTTGTGTGTTCAAATTACTTACTTGATGACATATTTCTCACTCTGATATCAAGATGCACACGTTTAATTCAATGTTCGATTACATGCACAGCTAGTCAGATTGCAGAAGGCATAAAATGGTGCTATGACGTTGAAAAGTCATTCTAGTGTTGGCAAGTTTAATTGTCATATTAGTAAGTCAATTCTTAAAACATGATATAGGATTACAAGAACGCGAATAAGAGAAGGCTATAAAATTTTTAATGTGACTGTGCCCTTTATCGAAGTATCCATCGCTTTAAAATATATCAGGTTTAATGTCTTTCGACATTCCTAGTTGACTAATCGTGTAACTAATTTTCTGTGTGAGGTTAGTAGTAAAGGATTACCTGTGTAACTGTATGCAAATAGTAAACGTGTAATGAGAATTCGGTGAATAAATGCGCAAGTATAGTCCAAGCAAATAAAGTGAAAGTTAAGATGTGCCCACTTGATACAAAGTATGTAAGTCAAATATTTAAACTGCTAAGTGTTGTACAGCAATATGCTTGATTAGAGAAAATATTCCCTTGACAGTATAATCAGTTAACCAGTCAGAATACACAGACATATTTTTTTGTTAAATTTGTCTGTTGAGTTGGTGGAACACGAGAAGTGAACTCTTAAGTTGTATCCCTGTTTACCTAGACACCAAACTATTTCCATTAGTTCATGGTGAGGAATGACGCTGAAAAATTGTTTTCCAATGTTATAAACATCGAATACTTCAGTTTTGAAAGCAAGCATTTTTGTCCCATCATGACAAGTGATTTACTTGTCTGCTGTCAGAGCATTGAAGATATTGATTAACACATCCTACAAGATATGATCCGAAAGAAAAGTCATTTAATCTAAGACAGTAAACTAACATCCAACAGATCAAATTACATCTTGAACTACATGAGTTGAAAATGAAAAAATTAACAACTACAATTCTTCTAACCAGATAGCACAAAAGATATTCAGTTTATTTTTTTCATCTCCTTTTTCAAATACTCTGTCAGTGAATATTATCTTTCTAATCAGTTTTTCTTTTCTACAAATAGGGAACAAGAGATACGAACCATATTCGACCACATGGACTCAAATCACAACGGATACGTAACTGCGAAGGAACTCCGAGCCTACTTAAAAGCACATGATGCCAAAGTTACGAATAAAGAAATAAAAGCATATATCTCAAGGCTCGATGAAAGTGGTGATGGTCAAATAAGTCTGCATGAATTTATGAAGGCATTTACACGAAACAATATGTTCAGTTCAGGCTACAGAACTATGAGATATTGAGCAATGGACAGTACATTATATTCTAAACAAATTTCGTTTCATAATATAACTAAATGAATGAAAACTTATCACTTTTTCAGAAATTCTAGATGAATAAATATATTTTACTTAATTTCCTGACATTCTTAACATAAAATCCCATTTGTTTAAATTGAATCTATTGTGGCAATGTGTGAAATCATATTTTAAATCTTCGGTTCACTGCGTTAAGTATTTATGCAAGATGACTCGTTGATGGTAAAGCGCTTAGGACTCTTGCCGACCGTGCACATGGTCTGGGGTTCGATCCCTTGCCAATGCACACCTGATATCAATGATCGGCCTACAAAATTTGGGCTACCGATATCACATGCTGAAAATTCCATACTTGTACCAAAAATACTACGTGGAATCAAACTGTGATAAAAAAATTATATCGTTCACTTCTGTCAGGCAGCAGTTTACCTGTTATGGCTAGAAACACAATATTAATCACAAGTACACAAATATGTAAAGGCCAAAAATGTAAGCATCAGTGGCAGTGTACGGCTGATGTGATTTTGCTTTCTTCATCACAAAGAGCTAAGATGTTGAAACCTTCTGAAATCCTGATGCTTCATAAGCGACGTGTTTTATTTTTCATTAACTCATACATTGATGGTATAAATTATATGACCTCATATTACAGTCGAGCGGTACATATGAATTAGTTCTGAGAGGAAGCTAATTTGTCTTCTCAATGAATCTGTATCTCTTATGAATGACAAATTACTCCAAAGCTCGGTACCTTTTTCACTCTAATAAATCTGATGTTGAAAAAACTGTTGCGATACAACATATTCTTTATTGATTTCCAAAAATGCAGTGAAATATCTCAAACTAAACCATCAACAGAATTCAACAAAATGGCTGTCAAATTGATACAGAGATAAAGAGATGATGTAATATCACTTGTGGACAGAGGAACAAATAATCCCAACTTTCGTATTCGAAAATTCTTCAGTACACACTAACGTCGGAGATTATTCTCACTATAATACGTGTATAAGTTGCCTTCTAACAGTAAACCAACATCATAACATATTCTCGGTCTAAACACCAGTGAACTTCATGTGGTAAAATTCGATATAGGGAGAGAACAGTTTTTTAATTTAGATGAAGTTATTTAAAATAAGCTTAAGCGGACTGGATGGCAAGTCGACCGTGTAGTAGTAAATCATGTAATTAATTAAAGTTCAAACATTGCTTTCACAAAATAAAATTGAGATTAAAAAGAAAATCCCTAATGTGATGAGAATGAGGAATGAGGTTAATGTGCAATTCTTTCATCGATAATGATTATTGTCGTGTTTGTTAATGGCATTTGACAAATTATCAAATATGCACATTCACCATCAATTTAGTACTCATTTGATTCTATATATATATATATATATATATATATATATAGGTGGCTTAATAAGACTTGCACAGCTCTCTCAATTTCATTTTGAATAATGAACGCCCTTCTTGAAAAACCAATGTCGTAAGTTCTGCATTCATTATCAGTTTTTACTTCAGCCTCATGGCTAGTTTTCATTTAGCGAAAGTAACACTGAAGACTTTCACACATCAAGTGAATTTGTTGAAATCTTCCCAATTATCATCACATAAGTGTACTCTTTGTGCAGAGGAAAACACAACACTTAACATTTCTCCCTAAGACGCATGTGGAAGAGTTTTAAACTTCATATTTTGATGGCATAAAAGTATAGTTGCATTAAACACCAACAGTTAATTTCTATCCCTTGCATAACAAGACTTCTAGCACTCACAACATCGGATAAAAACCTAATAATCTTCATCCCAGGCTATTATGCTGAGACCATTAAAATTATATTATAACGCATATATGAATTCATCATTTCCCTCGTGGCTATTTGTAAAACCACGATCGGCGTCCTCAGTGGTAAAATTTCATGTTCCAGATCCGTTAATCTCATGCAACATTCTCGGCTGCCTGTAGATGAAGAGAAGTGACAACATGAAATGGGCACATTCCTTGCTGAAACTTTTCTTCTTTTTCATTATATGAATATGCTTGATGGAATAAGTTGGATGAAATATCGACGAATCTTCTTCCCAATGAATAAATATGCATCTGATGAATATCTTCTGTATTGATTTCTTTTAATATCACTTTGTTCCGTAATCTAAATTTTTCTTCTCTTGTAGAGAAACAGAAGTACGTGAACTCTTCAATAAGATAGACAAAAATCGAAATGGACTTATATCTATAAGGGAACTGAAGGCTTATCTGAAAAATAATTCTGTTCAGTACAATAAGAAAGAAGTCCATGCTTACGTTTCCAAGTGTGATGAAAATTGCGACGGTCAAATAAACTTGGAGGAATTGATGAAAGTATTGACAGGACTAAAAGGTACTCAAAAATAGCTTGATGAATTAATCTGACGCATACTGATTAGTCGTGTGCGTGAACAGTCAGTCTGTTTTCCACTGAATATTTTCATTACGTTTCTGTAATTGTCCTTTCATTATGAAGATACATTCCACATATTAAGTGAAATAAAATGCTATTATTATTCTACTGCAGTAGTTTTTAATAAGCATTCCGATGATGTACTGTATGATGGATGGAGAATTTGAATAGTCTAGAATATTGTACTGTTCAAAACGTGGAATGTCATAAGTAAACAAAGTATGGAGCAAAGAAATCAGTCTTACTAAACTATTCTTGTCATTCAGAACTTGCAGATTAAATTGGCACCGTTGTCCCTGAGATATGCAGTATCGGGAGAACTACCTACATTTGCTTCTTATCCAATCTGTAGTAATATGCACTTCAAAAATGTTCATCCTGTTTAGTTTATTTGGCGACGTATTTGACGTATGCATCGCAAACCTTAACTCCCACTGTGTTCTTCATAAATTTTAGGAAGATATTCACTAAAAATGGTTAACGAAACTCTGAAGCAAACATTTTCCGTAGTTGATACAGTGTGTAGTCAATAAAGTTAAACGACTTTGGTAGTGTTCCACAACAATATGAATCAGTATAAGAAAAGTCTCAGTTATACGTGGCGGTCTTAGTCTGAATGAGAATTTCGGAAATGTAACCTCCCATATGAGAACTTATACTCTACTCTTATATGGCAGTCTCGGAAAGAAATGTCAACTCACTAGAGGTGATACAGTAATGAGGTAGATGAATAATGCAGTTGTGAGGCGAAATGTCAGTAAAGAGAAGGAAAACGGTATCTAGTGATTTTGGCTTCAGAATGTTTCGGTGTACACAAATACATTATAAACTGGTTTGCTTTATTTTTGTGGCCTGCTTGAATTAATGGGCTACTTGAATTTCCATCCAACACAAGGCATTATATTTTTTATTGTTTTATCCATTTAATAACGTCCTTGGGTCGTCAAATGTACTCGCGCACATTTTTGATTGGCTTTCAAACTACTGGGGCTCATTTGTTGGAGGTAAAGGTAAAATATCATAAGTGATTAGTCTAAGTTTCAGATCGAACTGTGTCATATACTATAGGTTGTCATTTAAGTTGAAGATCCTGGATGAGGAGAAAATATTATGTGATAAATTGAGCTGAGAGTTCTGTACACTGTGTAAGCTTTGTGTCCAGAATAGAGCTGTTATTATTATAATCACTAACAACACAATTTCCTTTTCACCGGTATAACATTATTACAAAGGATGATCAACATTATATAGTTAAATGTACATGGTAAGCCTCTAATTTCTATATTTTGATATGTCTACTCGAAGCTTCCAGATTTGTTTGAATACCTATCACGTACGGTATTGATTAGAATTGTCATCACTTAGTAAATTTGACAGTCAACGTTTGTCTGTGAGATTGTAATAGCTAGATTACCAGAAAACTGCTACAGATCAATATAGCATTTCATTCCAGCGCTGCCTGAATTCTTCAAATTAAATCTAGCACCTTCGATCACCGAATGGACATTATGGTGTATAGTTGTAGTTGTAAACTGCCTTCATCTTCACATAATATCAAAACAGATTACAGAGAAATGCTAGCTGAAAGGAGGTCTCATAATAATTGTACAGTAGTTCAATATACAGTCATTCTTATCGCTATACTTGAAATTAAGTTGAAAGATAAATTATGAGAATTTACGAGATGGAAAAGCGATGATTCCGTTGGACAACAAATTGCTTTTTGTATACGTTTTAGTCTGTTTCATTTTTGTATTCATTTCATGCTTGAATCTTTATTTCTACCTATTTTTTTTTCATTTTTTCTGCATTATGCCAATATGTGTATAAATATGTACATATTTTAATGCAGAATATTATTCTTACTTGCATAGATGGATAGATAGGTATATTATGTATGTTCTCTGGAATCACATATTGCCCGTATTTCTATTAGCTGCACCTCATATTTAATTGCATGAATTCTGAATTAACATCTCACATCCAGGATTATATATATTTCGAAGTCGATTTACAGAGGGATTCTCTAGTTTAGTTTTCAGAATTATAAAATATATTTCAAATTTCTTGAAGTACCTTGTTGTGAGTTTTGTAGTATTGGGTTGTTGATAACTGACGGATGATTGTACTTTTAGTAGAAAACAGTACGAATCACGGACGTGCATCTGCCGGATGGCAGACAATTTGAGTTGTGTTACGGCATTTCTGGTAACTTCCAAACTTTTCACCTTCACTCAACTTATCGTCTCATTCACGTCTCGTATTTATTTGGTAACACTCTTGACACTGTAAATAAGCATTTATTTTTTTACAAACTTTAACTTTCTGTACACAATACTAATATATTTTTTAAGGCTGTAAGAGAATGATGAGAAGCCAACGAAGTAAATGATGGTGTAACAACAGAAGACAAGGGCCAGGCAACAGATCAGTTTTATTACGAAAACCAACAGGTATTTATATGTATTTTACGTACATTAATAAGGCTCTGCCCGCAGAAAGAAGGCGGTCTTCTGATTGGTTGTTTGCAAAC